TTTGAGCATTAATGTTCTCAGAGTTGAGGCCAAAAGTCGTTCTTGCTGCAGCCGAATTCCCTCCCGTTGTGCTGCCGTGGGTGCCAGTTGAATGACAAGAGGGATGCAGTTCCCTGGTGCTGTTCCCTCTCCCAGGCAGAGCCGTCCAGTCAGTGCCTGGGCTGCAGTTCTGTAAAGCAAGTGCAAACAGGGACAGTCAGTGTATAAACCTGTGGGGTGAAGGACCAAGAGAGCTGTAGGGACTGGGAGAGGGTTATAATCCACTCTGTAGGGCTTGTGCCCTCCACTGCTGGAGCAAATGGCTGAGTTTTCAGGCAGGACAACAGTGCTGTGGGAGGGGAGGGACTAATTTTTACTGAGACTCTGTAGTCTTGTGTTCTTTGAGCCTTCAGGAGCCCTAGTCCTCAGTGGGAAGCTCCCCCAGAGGTTATGGCTCACTGACACTGTTGCAGGAGTCCTTGCAAGCCTCCTTGGGCAAAGAAAGGGCAAAGCTGCTGAGACAGCTCTGGAACAGGGCACATGCTCTGCCTGGGCACTTGGAAGCCTCTGCAGTGCTGAGTCTCGGGGTTTGCCCCTCCTTGACAAGAGGTGTTCGAGTGAAAGGAAGTTAGAGGTGATTTATCACTGTAGGAGTATTAAATGTCCCTTTGACGTGACAAATGTGTTGTGCTCCATTTCATGTTCTTCAGGGGTACAAGTTCTCTATCCTTTCAGTGTCTCTAATTCCTCGGGGTCATCTCTTTGCCCAGATGTGTCGTTCCTCCCCTGCGAGCGCTCAACCCCGTCATGACATTTGGACGGTGCTACCTGAAGGTCCCTTACTGGAAGATGTTGAAGCTTGTGAATGACAGCGACTTTCCTGGCTGCTACAGGGTTCTTCCTCAGGTTGGGCATCGCATCCACCTCCTCCTCTCAAATGTTATCCAGTTGTTTATGAGGGGAAAAAAGGGGTTTGCGTAAGACCTTGCCGGTTTCTATTCAAACCTAAAGGTTCGCTCAGAACAGGAACCTGCCTGAATACCAACTTCAGGAAGCTGTTTAACTTCTTAGGGAAGCAGTTTATATTCTAGTCTTTGAGGTGTTTTAATGTAGGAGAGTTTAGAGGGTTGTGAAAAGCTGCTGCAAGGGGGCTGCCAGCACAGGAGTGGGTGTCTGTGAATGCAGCAGCTTTTGGACCCCCTGAGGATGCTAAACCCCTACAAGTCCTTTATCTTGTTCTGTGCCTTTCTGCTTTCTCCTGGGGATTTTTAAAAGTGTGTGTGAGTAGCCGTCATGGTAGATGTCAAGGAGTTTAAAGTTTCCTCCCTCTGAAGTTGTGTTTGATTCTGTCCCTTCTAGGAACACAAGGAGGAGGATGCTGTGTGGTACTTCACCCCTCAGCCACGTGGGACTATCAAGGCTCACAGCTTAGTGGAGATCCCATTTATACTTAAAACCCAACTGCTGGGAGAGCATGACACCACTGCTGATGTCGTCGTGTTTGGGAGTGAAGATTCCCCACTGGTGAGTGTGAGGAGAGATGTGAGCCTTTGTGCGACTCATCCTGATGGAGTGTAAAATGTACAGGGATTCCTCCAGGGAAAACAGGAGCTTGTGATATATGGCTGGTGTGGACAGGAAAGAAGGGATTGGCGTCATAGGCAGCATCTTATGCCTAGAAAAGAGGAAGTATAGAATCCTTGTAGGTGGTAATCTCAGTGCCTGACCCAACATATAGTGGGAAATGGGATGACAAGCCCAGTTTGAACCCCAGACCAATCTGTGGGTCTCACATTCTGCTGGGAGGGTGTTTTGGGGCAAGATGGAGCAGTGAAAGGAGTGGAAGCAGGCAGGAGGTAGAGGAAAGAGAGGTAGTGTGGAGGAGGTGTGAAGAAGCAAGAATGGGAAACAGCATTTCTCTGTTTCCTGATAATGGGAACTTGTGGCTTTCAGATGGGATCACTGCATATCCCACGCTTGCTCCAGGCCTTCTGTTTCAGTCTACAGCACTGAAAACTTCAAACAGCCAGAATTATCCCCAGCCTAGGAGCGCCCTTAGAGCTGCCTAAGCTTTTCAAACTTTCCCTGATGTGTCCTTTTTTTTGATCTTTCCTACCTTCTTCCTGGACCAGAAAATCCACTTAGAGAGTATTGGACAGGGACCGGTTGTCTATGTATATCCAACTGAGATAAACTTGGGCACTATCCCAGTTGTAGAAGATATTTCCCAAACTCTCCATCTCTCCAATCAGAGTGTCATCCCTGCAGTCTTCTGGGCAGAGATGGTAAGTATCTCTGGGGCTGTTTTCCAACGAAAATGACTGCTCAGTAGCAGCCTATGACTTGTTTTTTATATTCAATGTTTCCATGCCTCTCTGTGCAAGATATTCCATCCGAGTGCGGCAAGAGGAACCTGGCTCTGGGGGTGGTTTTATCTGGGACAACCCTCAGTGAAATACACACATACACTGCAGTTTTCTTTCTGCTTACTGCTTTCCTGCCCTGCTATAGCCATGCAGAGCTGACTTTTCCAAAGCAGAGGGCACTGGGACACCTCCCTGCAGCTGATGATCAATGGGAAAAATGGGCTTCAGTCCTTCAGGGGTTGTTCAGAAGCACTGAGAGCCTCCTGGGAAAGAAGACTTTAGTGTTGGGGTTTTGTTCAGCTGGTTTTGCAGAGTTATCCTTTGGGCTCTCAGCAATATCCTCCAGCTGCTGTGGTGGGATTGGAGCAGTCCTGGCTTCCTCTGGCCTTGAGCCTCTGTGCCAACCCAGCTCTGTTGTCAGGAAGCCAGGAAAGTAGCTTCCCTTGGCACGGACTCCAAAGAGAGACTGGAGGAGGAATAACCTTCTCCTGAGGAGGAACATCCCTTGGGTTGAGAAAAACTGGGTTAATGAAGTGAATCTGTTAAAGGAGGGTAAAATACAGGTTGTATAAGCTCTTGGAGAGTTGCTGTTGCCAGACACTTAGATTTAAGTAAATTAAACCTTTATGGTTTTTACCCTCCTCTCTTTAGTCCTTCCATTTCCTGCACCCCACAGCAGACCAGGGTCCATGGTTTCCATCCCAAGTTCGGGCTTGGTTTGTCTTACAGGCTGGCGCGTGCTCACGCTGGAGGATTGAACCCAGTAAGGGAGTGATCCCCCCCGAGAGCGAGGTGTCTCTGACTGTCACAGCAAACCTCGATGACACAGGGAAATTTGAGGACAAGGTGAAGCTGTTCATTGAGAACAGTGAAGTGAACATCATCCCTGTGCAGGCTGTGGGCGTTGGCACCACAATTGTCACTGACAAACCTTTCTCTCGGGAGCTCAACTTTAGCCCCCACTTCAGGTAGGATCTCTCTCAGCTCCCGCTTCTCCCATGGGCTCAGCAAGGAGCAGTTTTGCTGTAGTCCTTCAGGCTAGGTCTTTTTCAGTAGGTCCCAGCTCTGTTTCCCTGAAGCCACAGGGATTCCTTTAGAAACATGTGATGGCTATTTGGGAGCCATTAGAAACCCTCAAAAGCCACTGAGATGGAAAACAGCTGCTGAGTGGTGATGAACTTAGGGGCAGCCAAGGCCTGGCTGTGGCTGAAGCCTTGAGCTCAGCTGGCCTTTTGGTGGAGGTTTTGTTGCTGAGTGTGCACTCAGGGAACTCCATCAGGGTGCTGAAGGTGGGTGACTGCAGGGAAACAGCAGCTCCCATGACATTTCCTCTGCTTCTCTTCTAGCCATGACATTTCAATGTCATTTCACGACATTTTCTCTGCTTCTCTTCCAGCCTCACTCCCTGCTGTTACCAGTTCAAAATAACAAACAAAGGGCGACACACCCATCAACTGTTCTGGACCACAGAAGGGTTCAGCATCGTTCAGCAGCGTCGTGGCCTTGGTACCACCAAGGACAAAAGCACTTCCCAGGTCCCCAGACCTGCCAGCCCCGTGTTCAAGCTGCAGCCGCCGCAGATGGAGCTGGTGCCGGGCCAGACCAAGGACGTGGTGCTGGAAGGCTTCTCCAGCACCCCCCAGGTGAGGTCCCACCAAGGGCTGAGCCTTTCCCATCAGATCCCCTCCGCTGGGGCTTCTCCTGCAGCCCCTTGACATTTGCCTGGGAGAAGGAGCAAGTGCCTTCAAGAAACCGTTTTAAGGACACAAGTTTCCATGGCAGCACCAGTTGCTTTCCTTGCTGACCACCATCAGTTGCTAAGGCTTTTTTGTGTTTCCATAGCTACCAAAACCCAGTGCTGATCCCAAAACACAGGCTGAAGGAAATATTGGTCCTTCAGGGCAAACAGGAGGTTACCAGTGTCATGTGCTGAGGCAGAAAGAAAGGGCAGAGAAAAAAAGTTACACTTGGACTGAGAGCCCAGGCAGAAAGCAAATGAAACAAGTGCCAAGTGCTTTATCTGGGAAAAGCAGGGAGTAAAACAAAAGCCCTGTGAAGGGAGGGAGTGTCTGGGAGCAGCATCGCTTGTCCTCTGCAGACAAACGTGGGCAGAGGGCTGGTCTAACCCTGAGTCCTGGAGGAGGAAAACCAACACTCTGTCAGCTCTAATGATCATTGACAGTTTGACTTTTGTCAGTATTTCCATAACTGCTCCCCAGTCTCTCAGCCAGCCCTGGTGTCCCAAGGGCAGCCAGGTCTTGCAGCACCCTTGGAAAGCAGCTCAGAGGGGGAGATTTTAGCAGGGCCTTGGGGTGTTCTCCTCCCTGGACCTTTCTTTCCAGGGGAAGTACAGCTCTGCAGAGAAGCTGCCAGCTAACCCTGGTGTGCACTCCCTGGCTCCAGGACCCCTGGGCACAATATTTAAGTGAATGTGGAAGAAATCTGCATGAAGCTCCTAGTGATTAGCCCTTCTGTCACCTGTTTCCTTAATATAGTTTTGTTGTTTTTTTTTTAAATCAGTTCCTACTTTCCCGCTTTCTGTAAGCACTGTGCTCAGCAGCGGCACGAATCAAAGCCAAAATCATTTGGGGCCAGGATTATTACAGTTGTAGGCAGCACATGACTCATGAGCGCCTTTTGTGGCTATCGGGGTGCAGTGTTACAGACGTTTGAGTGCAGAATAAATAAATAGGCTGCAGCACAGAAAAGAAAGGGGCTTTTGAGGAGAGCAGTGACTGTGGTAGGAAATGGGCCCGTGGATGGTGAACCAGCAGCCACTGGTGACAGTGACTCTCACATGCAGAAGGTGAAGGAGCGGCTGCTGTGTCACGCCATGGTGGGGAGGGAGAAGAGAAAGAAGCAGATAATGCAAGTGGATGTCAGCTGCGAGTTCGTTTTTCCCCTCGTGCAAATATCTTCCAGAGAAATCGTGTTCCATGTGGAGAAGGTAAGCCTCTGGATTGCATCCTTTCATGGCATTTAATGGCATGGCTGTTAAATCAGCTGGAAGGGTTAGAAACTATTAGAAAGAGTAAATAGAGATATATGCACTTCTGGGGTTGAAAAATGTGAAATGCATCGGAAGGGGAAGGAGGTCCGTGGCCACTTGCGGTTGTTTTTCCTTGTCTCCTGTTTCTCTAGCGGCCCAGTGATGTCCTGACTCTCCTATACAAGCCTCTGTCTTTAAAAAACAACTGCTGCCTGCCACTCAGCATTGTGCTGGACTTGAAGAAGCCATTCCTAATCTGTGATGTGGACCAGCAGCCCCTCCCTGAAGATGCTCAGGTGAACAGCCAGGGACCTTCCTGCTGGTGGGGTTTGAAGAGGGAGGGGTGTGGTGGTGCCCTTCTGTTGGGAGGTCCTCGAGTTGAGAAGTTCTTTCTGTCGAGTCAGCAGTGGACTGGCCTGAACTGAATCAGCAGAGCTGCTGAAGGAAGCAAAATCTCACCTGAATTGGGAAGACCCATCCTGGCTCTAAGACACAGGGAGCAGACAACTAGGTCTGGGCAAGCCATCCAGTCTCCTGGAAAGCATCCCAGCTCTCCAGCAGCCATCCCCTTGTATTGCTGCCAAGCACAGAAACATGAGCCTGAGAGAATCTTGTCCAAGACTGTGATGCTCACAGTCAGACCTTCACCATAAAGAAATGAAGGGTGAACTGGGAAGGCCATGCTGGGGTCTCACTTCAAACCTTTAATATTTCATGCTGTCAGACCTTGGGACTTCATCACACAGGTGATTAATACTCTTCATCTCCTTGCAGCCCATAAAATTGGACAAAGGGGAGGAAATTCATCTCCACATCCAATTTAACCCAGCTTATAAAAAGGATTTGTATAGCTGGGTAGCAGAGAAGACACTGAACATGGAGTTCATGGAGCATCCCCATGAGGAGCAGATCACCATTCGGGGAGAAGTCTACTTCCCAAACCTCCATATCCAGCCCAAGGCCCTGGACTTTGGCTACCTCATAAATGGCACTGAACAAGTGGATTGTGTGGCAATGACCAATTGCAGCCCAATCCCTGTCCACTACCACTGGTCCTTCCAGACAGACAGCCAGGTGAACACCATAAGGTAGGTGCTCCTTTGCTTGGAGCTCTTCTTCCTGGGGTCCTGTTTGTGCTTTGCAAGGACCGAGGCTGTTTGCCTGGGATCTGACAAAGTGCTTTTGAGATTTCCTTGTGGAAATAACAAAAACCAGCCGTGGTCAGGCTGGATGCTCAGGGAGTAGGTGTTCTCCACCAGCTGGACACTGGGCTGGAGACAATGTCCTCCAGCCAAACTGGGACTGTAAGACACTCCCAACCCTTTTTGCATAGCAGTAACCTGGACTCCTGCTTTACCTCTGGAGCTACAAAGCCATGCTTAGGCACTTGGACAAGCAGATCTGTAATGTGACCTCTTTTCCTTCCCTGCCAACCCAATTTGTTGTCCTTTCCTACAAAGAACCTACACAGGTGCTGCCACCAGAGTGCAGTGCTGCTGTCCCAGTCTCTTCCTGCTGCTTTGCTGTAGCTCCCATACGGGTTTCCCCTGGGAAGGAAAGCTGGTGGGGAAAGCTGCTTTCTCAGACCTCTGTGGCCTGAGGCAAAGACCACCTGGGTGAAGGGAGTTTTCAGCTGTTAAACCACACCTCCCCTTCACAGACCAACTCTTTGGTGTTTGACAGTGATCAGCAGGTTCTGCTGGGGCTCTGGGGGTGGCTGTAGCTGTCGGTGGGAGCACTTGTCTGAACATCCCTGGGAAGCAGGGCCATACAAGGCTGGGCTGTGCTTTCCAAGCCCAAGTGCAATCCTGCAGTAGTGCTGGGGCACATCTGTAAACACATTTCTGGCAGTTCCTCCTGCTCTGACCTGTGCAGAGTGCAGAAGTCTGGTCTGGGCAGTTTTTATTAGAGAAGCAAACGGTTCTTCCATAACGCCCCAGGAAACTGAGCCCAGTTAACCACTGGGCATTGAAGTGCTGCAGTTGCAAAGAATAGAGCTCACACAGACACAGTTTTGTTTAGGGAACTGGGACCTGACTCAGAGGAGACAACCTCTTGGGAGTTGACATTTTATTTTCCAGGTTCAACCCTTCACCACCTAAATTCAAACCTAAACCACCAAAGAAGGAGAGAGACTCTTTGAAGTACTCACTGTTGTCAAGGAGGCAGTTCAGTGCTGAAAGTGTGGAGGAGCCAACTAAAGGCCTTGAAGCAGTGCAGGATCCTGCCCCACAGCCAGCAGGTTCAGAGGACTCTTTGGGAGCAGAGCAGGATCCTGCCCAACAGTCAGCAGGTTCAGAGGACTCTTTGGGAGCAGAGCAGGATCCTGCCCAACAGCCAGCAGGTTCAGAGGACTCTTTGGGAGCAAAGCAGGATCCTGCCCAACAGTCAGCAAGTTCAGAGGATGTTCTGGGAGCAGTGCAGGATCCTGCCCAAAAGCCAGCAGGTTCAGAGGAATCCCTGGTAGCAAAGGTAGATTATCTTGTGCACCTACTGCTTGCGTTGCTCCCAAACTTGCCCCTGTAAAGCTGTGCTCATGCCAACCTCCCTTTTTGCTGTCCTGCTGTCATGTGCCCTGAGAGTGGGCTGAGCAGCAGGGTCAGTGGCTGGAAGTGGGGCATCTGGGGAGGGACAAACAGGATAGTTTTGCCCGGAGAAACCCACTCAGATCCTACAGATCTATCCTGAGTTTGGGATTTTTTTTTTTTTTTTGGCTTATTTTCTTTATAATGTAAAATGAGGTTTTTATTTGCATCGTGATGAGAAGGCTTTTGGTTTCCTTCCTGTACCAAGCTGTGCTGAGTCCTGATCTCCATTTCCCTCTTTCCAGCCCTGCTAGAGCTACCATTTTCACATCCCTGCCTTCACCCAAGAGCCAGTATTGCAGTGATGGCTCCAGAACTGTCTTTTTTAAGGCAAAACTTCTCTTCCTCCTAGCATGGAAAATGGCCTTTGGTCTGCTGACCTGCCTGGTGAATCTTGGTGCTTTGGAGTGGGAACTGGCCCCATGGCTGCTCATGGGGCAGTAAAAAAGGGTGTAAGGAAGCAAGGGAGTTTCTGAAAGCACCAGTGCTGGCCTTAAGTTCAAGGAGATGAGTTGTACCTGCTCACATCCCAGTATTGGTCATTTCAACTCTGCATGTTTTTTCTGAATCAGGAGAAACGATACCCACTAGACACAAAGAATAGTGTGGCTGAATGTTCTCAGACAGAAGCACGAAATCATCTTTATTTCCTGGTTGTTGCCCACGTATGCACAATTAAACCAGGGAAATTCAAGCAGCTGTCCTAGAATCCTGGAATGGTTTGGCTTGGAAGGGCCCTTGGTTTTGCTGGGAAGGGACCTTCAAAGATCCTATAGTTCCAGCCCCCTCTGCCTGAGTGCTGGGGGGATCCAGTTCCCTCGTGCACACTTGCATGTAGGACGTGCAGACAGAGCCTGTGTCTCATCTGTGGGTGGGCTTGGACCAGCACTCCACTGACAGCACGGACATACCCACACTGGATCTGTGCCCAGGTCCCATCTCAGCTGCTCCTGGGGTGGTGGGGTGGTGGAGCCTGCAGCAGAGTGATCTTGCTCAGACAGTGCTCACTGCAGCCCGTGGTGCTTTTTTTCCAGGTGCTACCATGCACTGCTGTGGAGCCTCTGAGCCTGGAGACCATGAAGGGATTGAGGCAATTCACGGGGGTGGAGAACCTTGCCTTGAGAATGGAAGAGGTAAGTGGGAATCTGTCTCATTTCCATCTTTCCAGTGTGGAAAGCAGTTCTGTAGCCCCCACTCCCACTGGCATTGCCCACAGAGGGGCCTCAATCCTTCCAAGCCCATCACAAAATGCTGCTGGAGCAAGTAGTCGCTGGAGAGGCCACCTGGGACGTGTCGTAGGGCTGCCCAAGGATGCTCCCTGTGCAGCACCTGGGGAGGGCATTGCTCCCCTTGTACCTCATAGGGTGGTTGACTCGAAATTTTTGCAGGAGCTTTTGCTGTAGCACCTTGAGGGAGCAGCATGTAAACCAGAGAGAGAGGGAAAAGCCTCAGGAGTCAGATGAGCCGAGCTGGAGTCCTCCCCCCAGCTCCAAGGGCTTTCACCTCCAACTCTGCTGTATTTCTGGAGGTAGTAAAATTGTTTTCAAAGGCAAGTTCTGCAGTGGAGAGAATATCTTGCTGCCAGGAGACATCCTAATTTACTTTAATGTCGTGTATTAATTAATGCATTGATCAGCGAGTATGGAAGAAGATTTCCCCTGTGGTCCCTCCACTGGTCAGTGGCACAGATGCAGGATGAGATTAGGATGATTCTGGCTGTCTTTGAGAAAAAGGCCCCTCCATTTACCTCTGTACCTCACTCCAATCCACGGCTCCTCTTCTGCACCCATTTCCATGCTCATCATCTTGATCCCTCCTCCCCTCCTGCAGGTTTTTGATGTCCAGCCGGTGTCCGGTGTGCTGCAGCCGGGCGAGAGCCAGCACGTGCTCTTCACCTTCTTTGGCCACCCCAACATCGTCGCCCGTGTCACGGCGCTGTGCCACGTGGAGGGAGGCCCCACCTACGAGGTGGAGCTGAGTGGGGGGACTTCGGACCTCAGCTACCACCTGGACACCTCCGACATCGACTTTGGGCTGCAGGTACCACCCCCTTCTCCTGGCAGAGCTGCTGCCTTGGAACCATCACCAGTGGGTTGCTGCCCACCTCAGCCCAGGGCTCCCTCCCCTTCCCAGCTCCTTTGTTGGCTCTGGGCCCTGGAAAGGACAGCCTTTGAGGGATACATCCAGCATCCAAGCTGGTTGTTAATGGCCACCCCCACCTCACACGCACACACCCACCACCAATGCTGGGAATTCCTCCTCTTTGAGGGACCTAACACTGCCTCCTGAGGCAGGCAGGATCCCAGTGGGGATGTCCAGAGGGACATATCCCTGAGACATCTCTCTGCTGATCCGCTTCTAAAGCCTGAGCTCCAAGGGGATGCTCTCCTCTAATGCTCTTGCTCAATCTACAAAATAATCCAGGGAGGAAGTTGGGCTTCCAGTCACTGTAGCTGGAGAGAACGTCCCAGAATAATCCTCACTTTACTTCTTTTCAGTTAAAAGCCCACAGATATTTCCAGCTGCTGGCCCTGTCTGTGTTGCCTCTGTGCGTCTCCCTTTTTTCCTGTCAATGTATTTGCTTGCCAATACTTGCATGCAGGTGCCTTTTCCTCTGGAATGCCTCAATGCCACCTCCATTGTTTCACCAGGCTGTTTGGTGACCCCTCAGAGTAAAGAGGGCCCTGGTTCATTTATTACTGGCCCTTACATGGTTATTACCACATCTCTGCGCGCTGCCAGAACTCCCTGCTCCTGTGCAGGGCTAAGAGGTGTCCTGTGCCTGACCCAGGTTGACCTGGGATGGTCAAGCACCTGTATCTCCTCCCCAGTCCCTGCTCTTGTGTTGTGGCTATTTGCTTCCAACCCCATGAAAGAGGAAGGAGATTCCCAGCAGCACACTGGTATCTGTAACTTCCCACTCCTCTGTCCTCTCTCCAGCTGTTTAATGAAGTCATCCAAGCAGAAGTCACCCTGCAGAACACCGGGGTGTTTGGATTCACCTACAAGGTGCTAGACCCCAGCACTGCCAGGGCAGACAGCCCTCTGCCTGGTGAGCCCGTGGTTGTGCCCAGCACGGTGAGTAGCACAAGTGATCGGCCCCTGCCCTGTGTCAGGTGGCCCAGGAGAGGGTTAAAGGGAAAAAAAAAGGGGTAAAAAACCAACCAGACCCAGCCTTGAGAGGCAGGGCTGAAAGCAATTGCTGCTGGGGTTAGAGAAGGTCAAGCAAGTGCTCTCCTAATAGACTCCCCCGTGGCCTTGGCCAGGGGGTGCCAGCAGTGGGAGACACAAGCACATCAGTCACTCCTTGGACCTGGACTGCTGAGCTCTCTGGCTGTGCTGGCACTGGAGCTGGGTGGTGCCAGCTCTTCTGAGGGTCACCTCACCCAGGCTATGTGATCAGACAGGACTTACTCCTTGTCCCTGCTTCCTCCCTGCCAGCACTAAGCAGCGATTTACATATTCCTTGCTTTGGCTTGAAGCTCCTTTGCCAGAAGTTCTCACAGCCCCCGTGCTGGTCCCTCACTCCCTCCAGCTTTGCTGCTCAGCTCTTTGGGGCAGTGAGGGGGCCAGGGAGGAGAGGGGCTGGAAGGAGAGGAGTTTGCAGCATCCCACCATCCCAGCTTCTCTGTCATGCCTGGATGCCTTTGAGCTTAAGCAGCGTTCCTGCTGACTTTGGCCCCCTTTGGAATAAGAAGTGAAAGCCAAATCGCTTTCTCACTGTTTCCTGCCTGTCTCCTCCAAGGGATGACACGCTGATGCCCCCTTCCTGCCAGCATCCGAAGACACAGCTCAGTGTGGCCCTGTGCAGGCAGCTGCTGTAGCAGCACCCCGGGTGCTGGCAGCTTGGCAGGGCTCCCTCGGGCTGCAGCCGTGTTGGGTGCTGGAGTGAGAGCTCAGGGGACCGAGTGGCAGGATCTGTCCCACTCAGCTGCTTCTCCCAGCAGCGGGAATGGGACTGGGGAGCCGTCCAGCCCAGCGTGCAGGGGTGAGCCAAGGAAAGCTGCAGCTGTGTCCTGTCACCCAGAGACAGGTTTGCCCTCAACCTGGCTGGTGTGAGCCCAGCCTGGGGCTTGGACAGTGCTTTTGGAAGCCCAGAGAGGAGGTGCCTTCCCGGCATCACCCTCTTCCCTAGATCTCATCCTAGTCTCTCCCCCTGTGCTTCCAGAGATATATGTTTGCAGGTCACTGTGAGTCTGGTTACGCTCATGCACCCTCTGTGTAACCACAAAGGCATGAGGTGTTTTTGTTGGGATCATTAATAAGGGGTCAGGCCCTTTGACACCAGCCTGGAACCACTGATGTGCTGTGGCAGGAGCTGCTGGCCCTGCTGAGTGCAGGCAACTTCACTCCTCTTCCACAGTGCCTGGCAAAAGAGCTTTTACCTGTTGAGCCTGGCTCTTGCTGGCAGAGGGCAAACCCTGTTAGCAGCAGAGCTGTGCTCACCCTGAACACAGGGCAGGCTCTGCTGGGGGTGCAGCCTTACGAGCCCTCCGAAGGACACACTGCACCCTTGCCTTGGAGGCTCGAGCTTTTGGGCACAAGGAAGTTAGAAGGTGATGTGGTGTGAGGTTTTCTTCCAGATGCCACTCTGTCTTCTCAGCCTGTCTGTTGCCTGAAGCATCCCCCATCAAACCCTCTCTGATGCATTCCTTCCCTCTCTCCTCCCATCCCCTGCAGGATTACATTGCACCTGGCAAGAAGCAAGTGCTGAAAGTCTATTACCTGCCAGGAGTAGTAGGAATCTTCTGCAGCACTCTCCAGATCCAAGTGGGTCACCTGGAACCAGCAGAAATCTCCCTGAAAGGAGAGGGAACCTTTCTTAGGATCTCTTTGGACCTGCCCTGGATTGTCAAAGGTGAGCACTACCTGTCTGCTCCTAGGAAGGCCTCCTGGTTTTTTTCCCCTTTTTTTTCCCCCTGTAGGGAAGCACACACCCATCTCCACCAAGCCTGGAGGTTGCAAGGCTGCCAGACCAACACTCGCCCCTCTGGTTGCTTCCTGAGTCTTGAGCAGAGTAGCCCATGTGGGCTTTGTCCCAGTAACCATCCTGCAGATCTTGCCAGCACATCTGTCAGAGGCCTGGAAAGATGATGGCTAGACAGAAAACCTTGGGGAAACTGTAAGAGAGCCTGGCAGGGCTTTTGGCAGGTTGAATTTGCATGATATTTCAGGGGATGAGATGCTCCTCTGTGAGGAGGATGATGGCTGAGAGTGAACATGAGGATTTAGAGAGGAGCAGCAGCATCCACTTTCCATAGATGGCTCGAGGGGTTTGTTTCTGGGAGAGGCCAGTGTTGGGGAAGTGGGACTTCCCAGCTTAAATGCACCCACACTTCTATTTGTGTGGGCAATGCACCCACACTTCTATTTGTGGATAATTTTTTTCCTTCAGGGCATGCAAAATTTGAGAAGATACTGAAAGAGATAAAAGAAAATCTGCAAGAAGAGAGGCAGAGCGATGAAGCAGGTGTTCTGTCAGAGCCTGCATCTGTGGAGCCATCCATGGATGACCCTGGCATCGAGGAGCAGCAGCACCCACTTGCCCCAGGTGACTTGAGGGGTTTGTTTCTGGGAGAGGCCAGTGTTGGGGAAGTGGGACTTCCCACCCTAAATGGGTTTGGCAATGCACCCACGCTTCTATTTGTGGGTAATTTTTTTCCTTCAGGAAATGAGGAGATACTGAAAGAGACAATAGAAAAAGAGGAAGAAGAGACTCAGATCGATGAAGCAGTTGCTATCGAGGAGGCGTCCGAGGAATCGTCCGAGGAATCATCTGAGGAGTCATCTGAGGAGTCATCCACAGAGTCATCCACAGAGTCATCCACGGAATTGTCCACAGAGCCACCCGAGGAGCCACCCGAGGAGCCACCCGAGGAGCCATCCGAGGAGCCATCTGAGGAGCCACCTGAGGAGCCACCTGAGGAGCCACCTGAGGAGACATCCAAGGTGCCATCTCAGAAGCCATCCAAGGAACCACCTGAGGAGACATCCAAGGAGCCACCTGAGGAGACATCCAAGGTGCCATCTCAGAAGCCATCCAAGGTGCCATCCGTGGCTGCCTGTGACACTGACTCTGACACTGACGACGGCATCGTGGTAAGAACAGCTGCTGTCCCGATTGGCACATGCCACCCTCCCCATGTGACCTGAGCCCCTTGCACCCCACAGCAGCTTCCTGGTGCCCTGCTGGCACCTGGGACCTCCCTGCCCACATCTGGCCGTGACTATTTGTCAGCTCAGCATTGGCCCAGGGGCTGCCCACCTTTGATCATGGTCCCTCCTGGAGCTGCACCAGCTTCCTGGCTACTCCAGGGAGAGATCCTGAAGGCCATGCTCAAGGGATGGAGTTGATGGTGCTTTGAAGAAAATGCAGGTCATTGCTGGGGAGTTTGTTGCTCCCAATCCAAGCCCTGCCAGATTTACAGACCTTAGCAGCCTGACACAGCCTGACTGTGCCCTGGGGCTGTGCTGGCAGTGCTCATCTCCAAGAGGCTTGGTTGTGGTTCCCTTTCCAAGAGAGCTTTTATCCAAGCTGCTTTGGCACTGGTTGGGGGCAGGCAAATATCTGGAGCTCTGGAAGGTTCCTGGCTTGTCTGTCTGTCTGGCCAGATCAGTTTTTCTAGCAGTGGCTGTGCAGGCAGAGATGCTGGAGTTACTTCCCTGGAGATAAGGTCCTGGCTCAGAGAGCAGGAGGTGTCACAGACACTGAGCAGCCAGACAGGACGACCCCATGCCCCCTCTCAACAAGAGCAGGGTGGGATCCTCTTTCAGATAAAAGCCTGGGACTTGGGACAAACCCTTGCCAACCAGCCACTGCCTTCTCTTTCCTCAGTGGGACACTTGGGTGCAGAGAGAGATGGAGCAGATGCTCATAAAGCAGCGTGTCCTGAAGCAGCAGAGAATTGTAACCTCCCGTCCCCCGGAGCTCAGGGGCTTTGACAAGAACATTCGTCAGAAGCTTGTCCAGTGAGTAGGGACTCCAGTCCCCTATCTCCAGGTGTCCCAAGGGTAACACCCAGCAGTTCTCCCTGCTCCTGAGAGCTCCTTGTGCCTGCAGAGCTGGGAACAGCTGGGGACTTCAGAAAGGGTCCAGCCCCAGTAGGTGTGACAGGCTCCTGTGAGCAGCTGAGTGTCCTCCCTCCCCCAGCGCTGCGCTGAGCTTTGGAGCAGCTCAGCTCCCCACAGGTTCTGTTCTTAGGGCTGAGCACAGACCATCAAGCCCTTCCAGGCTGCACAGACACTGTCCCTGCTGACAACTCCAAGCTGCCATCTTGATTCCAACTATCAGAGCACACTGAGCAAAAGGAGCAGGGAATCACACAGGTCACCAAACCCTTGAAAACCCTAAATCAGGCCTGGATGCCAGTGAGGTGGCAGGGCTTACCTAGGGAACTTCCCCTTGCTCCTTCATGAGGCATCACAGGCACAGGAGGCTCCAATTCAGGAAGAAGATGCTCTGCAAAACAGATCATTCATGTGCTTTCCTTTGTGGGATTACTCCGGGAAAGGACCCTCCCGTGAATTTTGGCAGTGTTGATTACATTTATCGGTGCTGCTTTGGGGGCGATTCTGGTTGCAGAGCAGTGAAGATTTCCTGTGCAGGCAAATTTTATTCCAAGGCCCTGAAGCAATTTCAGGCTCAAGCTTTACACCAGGCTAAGCAGTTTCATTGAGACCGGTGGATGTCCAGTGGACTTATCTACACTGGCTTTTCATATCAGAGGAGCTGTGACCAGTGTCCATTTTAAACTAATTTTATTTTCAGGTACCACTGGTAACTGATAAAACCTAAGACCTGCACTACCTGTGACTTCCCAAAGTCATTGCCGGGCAGTCAGGCCTTGAGTTTCATGGGCTTGAGTTGAGTTTTTACAGCAGTGAACACAGAATTATCCACTTTGTTTGCATCTTCCATCCACTTGGACATGTATCCAGGCTGTGGTTTAAGGACTGTCTTCACTCCTCCTTCCAGGATTGAGCTGCCCAACTACATCCTGGACATGGGCAGCGTCACTCGCGGTGCCACTGAGACACACACTGTGGACATCACCAACACTGGGCCCTTCCCGGTGTCCTTCCAGATTGAGACACATGTCCTGCAGGACACAGGTAACCAGTGCTGGAGAGACTTCTCGTGGGCTTGAAGGAGCTGTCTCAGACGAATCAGTTTAAGCCACTAGACAAGGGGAGGGGTTTTGAGTGTTTTCCCCTCAGTGCCCCTGCTGGGAGCTTCAAAGCCTGAATTCTCCTGGCCAGCTGTGCCCAGGGACCTGGCCTGCCTGTGGCTGCCCTGTGATGCTTCATTATGGTTTGCTGTGTCTAAGGGATGCTCAGGTGTCTCCTCTAAGTTGTTGACCAGGGAACAGCACAGCACGGGGGGATCTTAATTGGAAATTCTCCTTTGGAGAGCTCTGCGCAACCTTCCCTGAGGCGCCTGATGAAAGAATTGCTGGAGGTGCTCAGCTGATCTGTTTTGGTTTTACCATCCAAGGTGGACCTTGGATGCTGGCCGTGAAAGCCCTTTCTCCTTGAGTGGTGGGTGACAAGTTAAAAAGAGCAGCACCTTCTCCAGAGATGCAGAATGGTCTTTCCCAGAGCTGCCAGCCGGGACACCTCTACGACCTTAGCGTGCGTGTGACACATTTCATGTTGCTTGTTTATCTCAGCTGCTTTATTTTTGTCTGTTCAAGGTTTCAGTCTGGACCTGGATCAGGTGCAGTGCCTGCCCTACTGCAACACTGAGAGGATTGAAGTGCTTTTTGACAGTACCAACTTACCAGTTGGAGAGGTGGATGTGCGCCTGCCCATTAAGGTGCCACAGCTTTTGGGGCAGGCAGTAGTCTGGGCACAGCAGCAAATGTCACCTGGACCCTCAGCTGAATTGTCTGTCCTTCTCCAGGTAACAGGAAGCTACACAGTTTACATCCACCTCTTTGCTACTGTGACTGAGGATAGCATCCAGAAAGAAGGGCCCCCTGACCTGAGCAACCCCTCGCCATTGACGCGCTCTGAGAGACGCAAGAGATGTGGCGGCCAGAGATCTAAGGCTGCCTTTAAAAGGTGATGCTGCAGTTGAGGTCTGTGGGTTTCAGCAGGAGCCAAGGACTCTTGGTGCACCCTTGGCTCTCACTCAAAGGTGCTTGAGAGATTTGGTTGCTGCCCCAGCGATGAGGAATGCTCACTCTTTTTCGGTAGTGATATCCTTGCATCAATCAGTTGCATGATCCCTGTTTTTCCTGTTGGGAAAAGGAGGCACGAGGGTTTGCAGGGGCCTGGCAGTAATGCTGAGCACAAAAAGGGGCTTTGCTCACAGGCTGGTGTCCAACCTCGCCCCAGAGCCTCTTCTTGAGGATGCCAATGAAGGGCTCCCCTAACATCCTGCTGGGTCTGGTAGAAGAGGTGGGAGAATTATTCCCTGATGGGAAGTTGGAGGAGCAGCAGCCGTGCTCCCTTTCAAAGGGAGCCTTTCCTTGTGGCTCCCCACCTTCCATACTTTGAGGTTTCAGATAAACACTGCCATGAACAGATTAAAAAATTTCTGGTCCATTTGATTAAATTGCAGAGTTTGTGGTGTGTTCTCTTTTGTGACTGAGAGAGGTGTTTGTATGTAAGTGTTTAGACCCACACAGTGAACAGAGTATTTGGAGTCAGTGAAGGGCCAAAGCAGCAGCAAACTCTTCTTCCCTTGCTGTGTAAATAGCAAGAAGGGCAACTGAACTGGTGAACCTCCTGAGTTCCAAATGGCCTTATTCAGGGTAGCCCTCATTTCTTTTCCTCATTGGTGCATGATTCTGTGGAGCATTTCTCTCCCGTTCTGGAAAGCAGAGGTTAGCAGGAGAAATTGTTATTTTCCATATACCATACAGGTATAGAAATAGGTTACTGTCCTAGGGTTTGAGGAGTCTGGAGGATATCACACAGTCAAATTTGATTCTCCACATAAGGGCAGGTTACTTATCAGGTGCTGCCCATAAAAGGTAGAGGTGGAAGTCTGTAGCAGACTGGGATATCCCTATTCCAGACAGATATTCCTCCCTCAGCAGAGGGCCGGAACTGAGGCTGTCAGTGCTGCTGTTTCTGTCAGGATTTCTAAGGAAATCCTAGCAAAAAGACAACAGAAATTCTTCCAGTTAGTTGCAAACAAGATGCCACCAGTTTGAGACCAAGCCCTAATCCCAAGGAAAGAATTGTGGGGTTTCTTCTCCAACGTGTTTCACCCCAACTCCTCCCCTCCAAAAACTCCAGTTTGTGTCACCTGCTCCTCTTTAGATCTGGAGTGGTGTCAAAATCCATCTTCAGGCTGGTGGGAGTCAGTCCTGATGGGGAGAAGCTGCCAGGGACAGAAAGGCAAAGAGGATTTTCCAGCCCCCTTTTGCAGTCGAGGTTTGGAACACTTATTTCTGCCTCGAGGGTGTGATTGAAACCCTTGGGTCCACAGAAAAAGTGTCTTGCAGGGGGCTACATTATGCTTTCTGTGAGCATCCTTGGGGAAAACTGCTCGGGAATGAGCAGGAGTATGAAGGGATTTGCAGCCTATTCCCAAGGACAGTGTTACCTGTGGGAATTTGCTCCCTTTCGAGCCACACAGGTGGGTTACAAGATCACCTGGTGCCAGGGATAACCAAAGGGATACAAACCCTTTGGAAACCACCTCCTTGCTCCAGGGACATACAGGCTGAGGGCCAAGCCTGTGGCAGGATTTACATCCATCCACGTGCAGCATCTCCCATGCCCAGAGAACTGGTATAGAATATGCTTTGCCTATTTCTGTACCTGTAAGGTTGGACTGACACGGTTTCTTCTTCAGGATTTTCCAAGCTGAGAGGCCAGCTAAGGATGGAGAAATGAAATCGGCCTCTAAAGAACCCAATTAACCAAGATACGAACAAATTGAGCAATAAGAATCTGGAGGACTGGCACTGGCACACCTCCTTTACCAATAAAGCAAGAAAAACAACATCTTGTATGAGGAAATCTGTGAATGCTGAGCTGTGTACCCAGGCGTGGTGCAAATTTCATGAGATCTTGTGCAGTTTTCCTCTTCTGCCAGAAGAAGCTCTCCAGGAGGGAGAACTGAATTCTGTCCACCTCTGTGAAGCACCTGGAGCTTTCATAGCCAGTCTCAATCACTACTTGAAGTCCCACCATGTCCCTTGCCACTGGAATTGGGTAGCTAATACTCTAAACCCGTACCATGAAGCCAATGCTTATGATGGTCATGGATGACTGTCTGATACCAAATATGTTGCCTTGGTGGTACTTTGGCCCAGATAACACTGGGGAGACTGTGGCAGACTAGTAGAGAGAAGACTCTTGGTTGGGTATGAGAAGTGACAACACTATGTGAATGATTATGATTCAATTTATTGCTAAAACAGTAATCTAAACGGTGTCAATGCAGCGTATAATATAAGCAGAAGAAGAAAACATCAGACCACATCACCTTCTAATCTTGTTGTGCCCAAAAGCTTGAGCCTTCCACCCCGGGGTGCAGTGTGTCCCTCCGAGGGCCCTGTGACCTAAATGAAGGCTCCTGTGCCCTTAGGAGTCCCCCCTGCTGCTGCTTGAGGGAGCACGGGTTTGGGCCTCCAGTGAGACCCAATCCATGCTTTTTAGACCATTTATCTTCAAACATTCAGAAATACTTGTTTAGCATTTATTTGAAGGCCTTTTTCTACCGCCCCACACCTCCTGTGCCAACTTCTTCCACTGCAACTTCTTCCACTTCTTCCACTTACACACCCACACAGGGCCCACAGCCTTCAGGGTGGGCACCCTTCTGGCCCCCTCTTTGGGATCCAACCATATCCCAGAGGGGTATAACCCCGTCCCAGAAGGATGCAGCCCTGTCCCAGAGTGTACAATCCCGTCCCAAAGGGATACAACCCTCTCCCCGTTACTCTCTAGGAACAAATCCCCTCCCGTCCCCGCCCCTCCGCGCTCCGCCACGATCCCACAATGCTCCGGGGCGCCGCCGCGGGGCCAGCGGCGCGCGGGCCCCTTCCCTCATTCAAATGACCCACCGCGGGCGGCGGCGCGGGGTCTGTCGGGAGTTGCAGTTCCTTCCTGCCCCTCCCGGTGCGCGTCCGGCGGCCGGCGGGACTCTCTGTCCCGGCATGCCGCGGGGCCGGGCGGAGCGGGGCGGGGCGGGAGCGCGGGCGAGGGAGGCTGAGGGGGCTCGCGCCGCGCACGGGGCCGCCGCCGCCGCCATAGTGGGAGCCGCGGGTGAGTGCGGGGGGCGCGACCGGCACCGGGGCCGGGGCGGCACCGGCACCGCCCGCGGGCCGGCGCACGGCGCCGCCACACCCCGCGCTCGCCCGCCGCGGGCCCGTGGCCCGGCCCCAGCCCCGCCGCGGGGCGCTGCCGGCAGCCGCGGGCCGGGCGGGGCGGCAGCCGCCGGCCGGAGCCGCCCTGACCTTCCCCGTCTTTGAGGCGCCGGCAGCGCGGTCCCGGAGGGGCGGCGGCGGCAGCAGGGGGGAGCCGGGCCGCCGGCGGGGTTGGCGGGGCCCCGCATGTGGGTGGGCGGGCGGCCGGGCGGCCCTGGCCCAGCTCCCCCGGGGGGAGCGAGGGGCCCCGGGGCACAGATCGCTCCGGCGGGGCCGGGGGTGACGGGGAGGAGCGGGATGTGCCTTTACTGGGCTCCGGGCGCTGCCGCCGCGACCCTCCGGGCCACCGGGGCTTCTCCTCGGCCTGGCCTTGCTTTGGCTCGGTATCGCAGGGAGCAGGGGTAGAGGGGCTGAGCCGGGAGCTGCGAGGAGGTGGTTTGTGTAGCGCAGAGGGTGTGCTCGTGCTCGGAGTGGGTTTTTTGATGTTCTTGCTGTTTTGTGTCTTGCCAGAAGGTTGTGCGAGGACCGAGGTTACCTGACCCGGTTGAGCCTTTGTCACATTGGAAGCGAAGGGTTCGTGCTTCCTTGGAGTAAAACTAGCAAAGTGCATGTGCTCAGTGATCTGCTGCAGCCGTCTAGTTTTTCACTTTGTGTTGCCAGTTTCCAGTATGTTCTACAGGAGATAATTTTTTTCTTCACCCCTCTGGCTGTTGTCACTTTTTAACTTTAAAAGCAATCAAAACCTGCAAAGGTCTCCAGTAGCAAGGACGGTGTGTTGCATTCAGTTAATATGACAGGGCTTTCTGAAGACATTTAAGTGCCCAAGACGCTGTTCTTGCAATCCCAAGTTTAACTTCCTGTCCAAGGTAGGCTGTTATAATGCTTCAGCTCATTTGAAGTCCATAATTTCCGGTGTAATTGTATCTTTTAGAGTTGGACACACTGTATTGCAGTTGAGCTGGAAAAAAAGCCCAGGTAAATGCTTTAACAGGAACTGGTTGCAGAACTGTTGCTTGAAAGTTAAATCTGATTCCTTAATCAGCTGCCTTCTCAAGTTGGTACTCTTTTGGCTTCTTGAGGAGTTGTATTCAAGCAAAGTTTGTGTGTTGTGACTTTGAGTTTTGTTTTAGCAGCAACAAAAAAAAGGCATTTCACAGATCTCCACATAGAAGTAGCAAAATTACTGTATGTAGTGAAAAGCCTCATCTCATTTAAATTTTGGTGATATTTGGGCTCTCTTTGGGACTGTTTAACTATTTTCCCACCGGGATCCTAATAATTGTTTCATGTCTAGATGCTTGCAAGTTATTTGCTAGATGATTTGAAATGTATTTGCTTAACATCTGTGTTTGTTCAGGTCTTTAGAAAAATGCAAATGGTAACAACTTTCTGCAGTTCTCTCTGCTGGGATTTCTTTTGTCCTTGTTAATAATAGGGTTATCTAGTTATTGCAAGAGTAGATTATGGTTTGTGTAGGAGTTGCAATATATACTAATAGCTGGTAGCAATAATTCTTTTTGGTTGTTTTAAAACTCTTAGACATTGTGGCAGTTTTTGGGGATAATGTTTTGTTACTGTGTCTGTAAGGTAAAGAAAAACACGATGTAGCAGTTCTCCCTTCTGATTCCCCAGTGCCTCCTCTGTTATTTTAAAACTGAGCACTCTTGGATTCATCCCGGGGAAAGGAAATGTGGCTCGGGAAGTTCAGCCTTGTAAACTTGAATTCGGTTTTTGGCTTGCTTGAAAAATACCGTGCAAAAAAGGCAGATGTGCAGCATTGTGGCTCTTGCTTAACAACAAGACATTCTGTCTTCCTCTCCAGTTATGTGTAATATATGCCTGGATGTTTGAAAATCGTCCTGACTGACTCTGTGACTCTTGTGTTGTCGGGTTGCAGTTAGGATGGGCATCAAGCTGCAGGCACAGTGAAAGCTTTCCCAGAGTCCTCCCCATGTGGTTTGTGCACCAGTGGCCTTACACTTGCTGATGTCTCTAACAAAAAAAAAATACTTCAGGTTGGCATAATTCCCACATTAATTTGTTTTAATGAAGTTGGAATAGAGGAATAAAAAGACTAAGAAGGGGGAAGTACATGTATTTCCCAGAAGGAAATAATCTGCACTTTGTCACTTTGTGATTCTTTCTTCACCCTTCTCCCTTCCCATCCTCTTGCTGTTCACTTATCTAGACTTCATTATTTTTAGATCTAAAAGTGTATTTAGAGTAATGTGATTTCTTGCACAGCACAGCTCATAGCAGTGGAGGTCTCTGTTGAAATCAATAGTTTCTGATTGGCCTGGAGCTGTAGTTTGCAGAGGGTTTGCCCCCATGGATCAGTCAGCTCCTGTGGAGATGATTGTGAAAATACCTGAGAGAAGCACTTCTTTCCTTCTGTCTCTGAATGCATCAATTTGCTCCTCAACTGGAAATTTCATAGGTTTTCAAACAGAAAGACTGACCATGAATTGGCATTTGTCAGACAGAGGTACAATGTGTTGAAGATAAATGGTTGATGATTCATGATGTCCCTCAGTGAGTTCCAGTGGTTCTCCATCCCTGTGTCACTGCGTGTTCTGCCCGGCATGGTCTTGTTTAGTCTAGAGAAGGCTGGAGCAGCTTCATCCCAGCCCCATCTCTGTCAGGCTGTTATCAGGAGAATGGAGCCAGGCTTTTCACAGCAGTACCCGTGGGAGAACAGCACACAAGGGGCTTAAATTGGAACAGAAGGGGTTCGGGTTGGACAGGGAGAGCTGCCCTCTGCATGAGGGTGGTCAGGCAGTGGAACAGGTTTGTCTGCTTTGAGCTGGAGGAGGTTCCCTTACAACCTGCATTATTCTGTGATAATTTGCATAGCTTCTCCTGTTGGGTGTGTATCCTTTGCTAAAAGGATGATCTGTTATCAAGTGTTGGTGGAGTTGAATAGGTGACCTGCTTGAGAGATTAACTGGTCCTGTGATGCTGGGTCCATTGTGTTCCTAGAAAGTGCACGCTGGAGACACTCCTGTCTTTGCAAGTTTTAGTGGAAATAGAAAAGAGACTGAAGGAAAAATAGTCTAAAGCTGTTTGCTGTTTTAGTTTTTTTACCACAGTGTAAACACTGCTCACTCCTTAATCTGAGCAACCTAAAATACCTGCGTGGTAGTAAAATTGCAAGAGTATCAGGAACTGAAACAACTGAGAGCCTTGTCCTTATTTGCTCCTGTTAATCAGTAGTGAAGGGTGCAGCAACTGATGGTCTGAACCACGTTTGTTGTGAATTCCCATGTACTCCTGGACCAGCAGCACCTGTTTAAAGGCTGTGTTTGTGCTCTCTGATTCTCAGATTTTCCAGAAAACAAGCTTGAGTTTAACTTCAGTGAAGTGGTGTGTAGGGCCAGCTTAAATATCCAGGGAGCATGGTTTATTTATGCTGGGATTACCTGCAAAATAAATATAGTCATAACTGAATAATAGAAGGCAATTTGCTCTACTAACATATTAGAATGTATTGGTTTGAGGTTTTTCCTCTTTAAATTCAGTGGTTTTTTCCTTGATGTGTTGCAGACTAGAAAGACTTTATTGACTTTATTTGCCTGTGATGGTTGTTCATCGATTCTTTGAATACAGCCTGCTTTTTAAATGTGGCAATCCCTGGCAGACCACCTGTGTTTTATTTAGCAGTTTATATTCTACTGTTGTGCACACTAGTTTTTGTTGACTTTTTCAGAAAACGTAGTATTCTTTAAGAAGTGCAGGCTTGCCATGCTGCAATTCAGAATGAGTTAATTTTTTTTTAACTGATAGGAGCAAGCTTACATATGTCCAGGTCTGATAATGCATTAAAGCATACCTGCTGGTTGAAACAATTTTTTGTTCTTTCTCCATATTGCAGGGATGTGTCTCCTAAGGACTGTGTTTCCCTTAGGAGTTATGGGCAGTGTTGGTGTGCTTGTGCTAATCTCTTACACTCAGAGCTAAGGCAGGAAGAGGGATGACTGTAGACAGGAACACTGAAGCTGGGGCAGGCAGTGGAAAAGATGCTGTATTTTTGGATTTTGTGGACAGAAAATCTTCTGCCCAAGGCCAGTGTAACCCTAGTTTTATTCCAGGTCACTCGTGGCCCTTGTGAAGGCTCTGTTCCCTTCTAGGCTTCCTCTGTCTCATACCCTGATGCATTTTCCTCCTTGGTGCTGCTCTTTGCTGGGTCCTGCAGCTTCACCTGGTATTGGTGCCATCTGCCCCATGCCAGAGCAGATACTTGGGATGTGATACCTTGTAGGATGGGATTTGTAGGAATCATAGCAAGAGGTGAGTAGAGGGATGGAACTTACACTTGATGTGTCAGTGTGTGGCCTGTCAAAGGTATTGGAAAATTTGATTTAGGTGTCACTGTGCAAAAGTGCCCTGCAAAGCAACAGTCCCAGTTCTGCAGTGTCAGCAGGTCCCTGTTGAAGACAAGAGTTGCTGGGAGCTGCAGCTTTTGTGCACTGTACTGGGTTTCAGCTTCATCACTGACTGCTGGGTGTTTTTTGGGGTGGGGATAAACTCTCCAGTATGAGCAGATTCCAAGAAATCAAGTGAATAATGTGAGTTAAAGTATTGCACCTTTGTGTTGGTAGCTCAGCTTTCCTGCTCTGCTTTTGTGAAGAAGCTGTTAATCAAATGGACTGTGATGTTCTTAAGTGGATGTGAGGAGGGGAGGTTTGGTTTGAGGTGACAAAGGCAAGAAAATTAGTTGTCTTAAGCAAATTATCTCCTTTTCCATGGGGAATTAAGGTGGAATATCTTACACATACACAGTAGTAGCTTTCAGCAGGTGCCTTTAAAAGAACAGGTGTGCCACATCTTACATGCTTTCTAGGTTATTGCAACTTCTTCTATCTGGCTTTATATTAACTGAATATTCTTGTCTCTGTAACCAAACTTTGAGTGAACCATGGACAGATTTAGCTGGATGACTCTGAAGCAATTCTGTGTTGTCCTGGTGTTTGACAACATCAGAACATGTGCAGTCCTCCTAGCTTTGCAACAGATCTTAAAAGCCTTTTATATTACATTTATCTCATTAAAACATTGTACTGATAAGTGTATCAATACAATCTTGCATGGGTTGTGTCTCATTGAAAGGGACTGGGCTTGATGACACAGATCATTCCCATCTTGTTCTTTCTTTAGGTACATCTCTAAGCTTCTTAGACCTGTAACGACAGGCAGAAAACACAAGACAGTGTGGAGGAAAAGGTGACGAATCAGAAGAGGAAAATAAAAAACCTTTCCAGGGAGAGAGAGTGTTCAGCAAAACCATATATGAATGGCACAGGAAAGAGTAAGGTTGTAACAAACAAACAGAAAAAAAATTAGTCAAAGATCATTAATTTCAGCCACGTTTTTTAGCTTGTTCTCATTTCTGACAGAATCAACATTATAACTGGTCCAATTTATGCTGGTTTTTTATTTATTTAATAGAATATTACCTATCAAAATACAGATACGTTTTTAGGAGGAGATAGCAAGCTGGCATACTAATCTTTGGATTTAGACACCGTAGTTCTACTTTCCATATTTAAAATACAAATTCCTTCATTCCTTGCAGTCTCTAAGGCTTTCTCACAGTTTTAGGATTGAACAGGAGGCATCTGGTGCTTGAGTGAGGCTGTTGTGCCTTGAGGAACTAAATGAGGTGCAGTGCTAGTGTACAGCTTGATCTTGGGTTTGTATGATGGTACAGTGAGCTGTTCAGGGTGAATAAACATCATGTGTGTGGGGAAATTTAATTTAGCAATAGCTCACTTGCTTTAGCTCCAGGAGAATAAACTGGTGGTTTTCTTGCTGTCCACGACTTCATTTCAGTGTTAGATGTTTGACTGTTGAGCGTTAATACTGTCAACTAGATTTGCACTTGAATGTTTAGGAATGATGCCCAATAGTGATGTGAGTTCATGGGTTGAAGTTGAATCTTTGCTGGTCCATAAAAAGTGAATCAGAATGATTTTCAGCTGTGCTGATTGTCGGCTCCCCCACGACTGTCCCGAACGACACAACTCTGGGTACTCACAGGACTAGACTGGGAACAGCAGGCATCAAACCTAAATCCTAGAACCCTGAAAACATGGATGCTACCTGCTGTTATGCCAGGGATCCAATAAAAGAGATTTGCTCTTCTATAAGTCTGGCCAAATTTATGTAACCTTAAAACTTCCAGCCAGGAGTCTGAATCCATTTCAGTTCCTACTTGTATGAGTAGAGCTCAGACAGCCAAAGGCTTGAAATACAAAAAGAGCTTTCTTGTCCAACTATGCACAGAAAACTAGGCCTGGGAATATCCTCTGTGAAGATCTTGGGAATGTGTGTTTTGCTTCTCTTAGAAATTTGTCAAATCTGAAACAAGTGTGTAAGTAATTGACATCTAAAGGAAGCCAAAATAACTGTCATGTCCTATGTCCTAAAACAGAATTTCATGCCTTTCAGACTTGGCAGTGCAATTCAAACCTGTAGCTCCAGGATTCCTGGTCAGGGATTACAGAGAGGGACTAGTGGCTGGCAGATCTTGATGTTGAGCAAATATAGTTTGCATGAAGTAAACTCAGATCTTAAAATATAATGTAGTGGGTTTTGAATGCAGGATTTTTGTGATTTGAATTTTAGCACAATTCTTCATTCTTTCAGAGAGAGATCAGGATAAATAAAAATGAATTTGCTTTCTTGAAAAATGCAGTGGTGTAGTAAAGCCATCATCTGTGCTGATGGTGTGTGATGGTTTGTAGGCTGGGTCTGTGTAGACTGCTGTGCATCCTGTGTGTTTAATCCCTCTAGAATAGAGGGACTCGTGTTCAGAAGTGTGGGATTGCCTCTGAGCTTCCAGCAGCTTCAGCGGGAGCTGCAGATTTTCACCACTGTGAAAAATCATGGTCCGTGTCTGGAAGTTACTACAGGTTCAAACATAAACAGGGAGTGTACTGCAGCCTCAGTGACAGGATAGAAGAGGATGGGCAGAAGCATTGTGTTAAGCAATGAGCTAGTGAATTAATTCCTGTTACGTGCCATTGAAAGGACACTCTTAGATGGGCCTGTGGATGGTGAAATACCCGAGGAGCTAAATAGATGAATCAGTTGGTGTAAAGCCACTTGCAGACAATCCATATTAACAGGTCAAGTCGAAACAGCAAGTGCTTGCCAGCTTTTTCAGGTGTGTAACTTCTGCACTATGTGAAGATAAGGTGGTATATGAAGCCGAGGTGGTAACACTCATTTTTGTTTTCCTTCTCCACTTTTATACATGAGATGTGACCTCACACTGAAATAGCACCACAAACCAAATGCTGTAATAAGGAACTAAACCATTTGGTATCCGAGACTTTTTTTTATTTACAAAAGTCTAGGATACAGAGGTGAGATTTGTCCTACTTATCCCAAAGAAAAATTCAGGCCAGCTGACGGGATTTGTGTTTGCCAGTGCTAATACTTGAGCCAAGTGTTACACTTACTCCTGTGATCCTTCTGATGATTTTGTTGTTTCTTTGTTTGTTTCCCAGTCACTGGCTCTGGGTGAGGATTCAGAATGGGAGACAAGCCTATCTGGGAGCAGATTGGGTCCAGCTTCATACAACATTACTACCAGCTTTTTGATGCAGACAGGACTCAGTTAGGAGCAATATATGTAAGTATCTACAGAAAGGGGGCTGGAGCTCTGTCCCATTATCTGTCTGTGTTTCTCTGTTTTGAGGTGTGAGAATACAAATGGTTGGATAGTGGGTTTTATCCTGACTCCAGAATGTCAGTCAGTGCAATCACACCCAACTTTTTTTTATATTTTTTTAATTTATGTTTCATTTCTCCTTTAAGCTTTGTTTGCCTTATAGGCAGTCAGACTCATAAAAGCCCTGTTTGGCTGTAGACAGTGGCTTGTATTGGAGGGGGTTGGTGATGATCCTGTGATGAAATGCTCTGTAAAAGCAAACATTCTGGCCTCAGTTTGCCATTAATTTACAGTTATGGATTTGCTTGGATCCCTCTTGAACTGGGATATGATTTAAGTTCTGCCCTGTGTTTAGCAGTTCTTTCAGGTGTTTCTTGGATCTCATGCTCTATTAAGTCTTGAATCCAGTTTAAAAAATGTATAATTTGTTAAATAAATCTAAATCTAATTTAAATTTCCTCAAAAATCAGATTTTTTTATTTTTGCTTCTTATTTGGCACAAAGGAGATTTGGAATTAAAGACTGTAACTAACAAAGCCATGGAACATCACCTTTTGGTTTTGAGGGAGGATTCCTCCAGAGCATGCAAAGTGCTCTGTGTGTGGAGTTGATTACTGATGGTGAGGAATGCTGCTGGGTGGCTGAAGTGTTTCAGGAAGACACTCAAGTCTTACAGGTCTTCTAGTAGCATATCCTGTTTTTCTGACTGGTTTTTCATCTGCTGAATGAGTTGAGTTTCTACAAGCTCTTCAGGATTGAACTGTTAAACACCCTCTGACACCTCTCCTTAGCACTGATAGCATTTGCTCTGGGGATTGTTGTGTTCTTGCCACCTGCCAGATTGTTGCTTTATTTTGCCTAAGAAGTTGTGTACAGAGCCTGTAAAGGAAGAAAACCAAGCAGCCTCTGTTAAAGCCACAGTTCTAAATATGAAGGCTCTTAGCAGTTTGTCATGTTGTTACCAAAATACATTCAGTCCTCAGAAGACTGGTGGTAGGTACAGCCTAATTTAAATTCCTGGAGACATGTCCTTCCACACTACGAACTCCTGGCCTTTTTTCAACCTTCTTTCTGCCTTTCATGGAGAGACCTGTGCACATGTATTTGGGAGGACTGTTGTGGAGGTCACTGATATGTATTGCTTTGTGGAGTTCCTAAACTATGGAGAGAGAATGGGCCCCCATTCTGTGTGGCTAAAATGCACCAAATTCACAATTTATCTAAATTTGGGGAGATTTTGCAGAATTGGGCTTTTAACAATGAGCTTTTTGCCTTCAGACACGCTGTAGGAGCAAACAAATTTTGTAGCATACAGGAATGCAGCGGGGAGCTCTTGGATTTGGTTTGTATTCCTGTATCACTACTTCCATCACAAGATTCAGCTTATTTTTAGTGGTGTAATCCAAGTCAATCAAGCTTTTGTCACCTATCCCAGGCAGGGATGTGGCCAGTCACTTTTGCTGTGAATTGTTTGAGTTAGGTGAGTTGGAATACCACCCTTGTGGTGCAACTCATTTAGTCAGTTTTCTTCATATATTTTTCTCTCTCCACATGCTTGACTTTGTGTCCATAGGATTTTTTTTGTATCCTTTGGATTTTCTTCTAAAAGCTAACTTTGATCCAAAGGCAGGAACTTTTTTGCAGGTAGGATCATGATAATGAAATGTAGTCTATTTAGTTTCTAGTTGATTGTTCCAAACTTTTTCAGTTGCTCTTGGTGGTTTCTTCCTATCTCCCTCTGAGGTAGTTCTCAAATAGCTGGATTCTAAGGATACATCCTAAATAAACAAAACCTCTCACCAGGATTGCTTGAGAGTTACCTGAGCAGGTTGATGACTTTGTTTCTTTCCCCCCCAGATTGATGCATCATGCCTTACGTGGGAAGGACAGCAGTTCCAGGGCAAAGCAGCCATTGTTGAAAAACTCACTGTAAGTCTGGAAACCTTACTGAATGTTTTGGGAAACAGTTCTGAAGACTGTAAGATAATTGCTTCTGAAAATCTGAGTTAGTCTTGAATAAGGAACTTGTGCTTCCAACTTTGGTCTTCAGAAGATGTTGTGAATTAATGCTACGTAGTGGGGTGTTCCATTGGTGACTCTAATGGTGGAGTTTTAATTGACTCCGTAGTTTGCAAGGTTATTTTGTGACTGCAATTGTATTTGACGTTACTGATTTATTCTTTTTTAAAAGGTCTAATGCATAAGCTGCCTCTGATCTAGAGGAATGAAAGGTGTCTTTGCTCTTTTAAGGCATGCCAAGGAAGAAGCAATAGCAAGCCTGTTACTTGGATCTGTCTGTGATAAAGACTAGACACATAACTGCAAGGAACAACTTGTTTTCTGATACGTAAACTGCAAATAAGTTCTATAGTGGAGAAGCTGACTTATCCTCAATGCAGATTTGTCAGCAGTTCAGATATGAGCAGGTATGGTTCAGGACTTTGCAACATGTGTTTCCTCTTCAGCAAGTGAGAGGACACTGGAATTCTATGTTCATTTAGTTAAACTTGGAGAAGTTTTATCTTCCTGAGTAAATTCATGCTTCTGTTATAAAACTGGGTGTACTTACAAGCTGTCATGAGATTAGGAAGTTTGTTTCTCTTTCAAGATACGTGAAGGACATGCTTTTTAGGTCATCAGACAGTCTGCTCAGAGCATGGTATTTCAGACAGATGTACTTAACACTGAGAAGAAAAATCAGTGTAACTTGACACTTGTCTTGTTGCACAGCTACTGCTCCTGTCTTATGGAATCACTCCTTTCATCCAAGGCATCTTTAACTGTGAAGACCAAGGTTTGAGCTCAGGTCTGTGTTTCAGGTGCCTGTCTTGCCTTTGAGAAGGCCACACACCTCAGAAATAGCACAGCTTGCAACTTGTAGGTGAGGAGATACTCAAGCTCCAGAGTTGTTTGTTTGCGTACTCAGTGTTCTTTAGACTTCTGGGCTAGCAGCCATTTAGATACCCAACCAGCTAAGCATTTGCTTGGCCACAGTGTCTGACTGCTGCCTTGGATCCAGCCCAGTGCAGGTCCAGCCCCTTTCCCACCACAGCATTGCTCATCTTTACCTTCCCTGTCTGTGGTGCAAGTTGAACTTTCTGGATTTATGTGCCTGCCACAGTCTTAACTGGTGAGTGAAAACACACTGCTTTGCTTTAGGGAGACTTTTTCTGACTTGTATTCATCTGCTTAAAGTAAGGAAGAAGTGCAGTGAAGTTACTGTGTGCCCTTCCACTGCCCCGGCTCGTTATGGGGCTGTATCAACTTACTGTGACTGCTGTCGCCCAGCATTCCTCTGCCAGCACTGAGCTGCCTGGGCTCCCTTTGCTGTTTCAGCTTCATGTGCTCACCTACTCTGTGCTTCTGGAGCTGCTTAGTCAGTTGAGCAGATCCCTGAAAGTGTGACACTGAAATTCTTTTGCTTTCTGCAGTCCTGTGTCCCTCAGGGCCTGGCTGGTGAATCGATGTAAGCACAAACAGGTGGCGTTTTCTTTTACGTCAAATTCTTTGCTGTGTAACAGCAAAAATGCTATGGCACCTTTTCAGTCTACTACTACAGTAGGGGAGGGTTGTGTGGGCATTGCTCTGCCAGCACTGGCAGACCTGTACCTTGTTACACTGTGGGAGGTGACACTTGTTCCTTGTGTCCTAACTGGTGCTGGGCTTGTTTCACTTACAGTGCCTGTGCTAATTATGGGCAACTTGATTTACCATTTGAGGTAATAATCATCTAGTTCTATGAACATACTGGACCAAGGAAGAAGCTGAGACAGGTAGCCTTGTTGCTAGGAGTGAGTTTATGCTACTCAACTTTATTCTTGCATAATTTCTCTTGTGTGACTTCAAGGACGATTTCATCATTTTGCTAGTGAGAGCCCAGTCAAATTGTAGTGTCAGAGGATGCTAAAAGCCTTGGTTGTTGTGTGACTTCATGCTTTTTAGACACATTTATTTGTACTTTTTATATCACAAAATCCTCCTCTCCAGTGTAGATGGATGTCCATAAGCAGCCATCCTTTTGAGATACCCTCTGCTTATCCTAAAAATTAATGAACTTTCCTGTCAGCTACTTTCCTACTCTTTCCAGTGGGATTTCCCCCAGCACATCATGAGTAGCTCACTAGCCTGGCCAGCTGCTTGGGGTCCTTTTCTCTTAAGGGAACAGTAATAGAATCATTAAGGTTGTAAAAGACCTTGAACTGAACACCACCTTGTTAAACAAACCACAGCACTAAGTCCCATGTCCAGTTGTTTCTTGAACACTTCCAGGGATGGTGGCTCCATCTTTTCCCTGGGCAGCCTGTTCCAATGCTTAACCACCCCTTCAGTGAAGAAATTCTTCCTGATGTCCAACCTGAACCTCCCCTTGTGCAGCTTAAGGCTGTTTCCTCTCGTCCTGTGGAATCGGGTACTTGAAACAGGCACTGTCTTACCCAGCCTAGTCTTTGGTTTCTTGTCACACTTTTGCAGAGCTCTTGATTCCAAAGGCTTTCCTTCCTCCCTGTTTTGTCTCCCCAGTCTTGCCTCTCTTGTCACACTGAAAGCTGGGTTCTGGACACAATTACATTCATTCCTCTTCATCCCTCTGCCTTTTAAAGGGGTCTTTTTGCAGGACTTGTTCAACAAGAAGCTGCTGTGCTGAGATGGGACTGGGCTTTGTAGTACTCTTTTTTATAAGGAAGATGGTGCAATGTCCCAGGCTATGCTTGTGCAGGCTGTGTGGGCACATTGCACATTCAGTCTTGGGATGGTGACCCTGGAAAATAGTCTGTTGGTCATCAGTAGATAAGACTGCTCTGGATTTTTTTTTTTTTTTGGTTGTTACTAAATGTCTGTCCCATATTACAAACCAGTTGGCCCACTTTGCACTTCCTAGTTGGTTGGGATTGTACTCTCAGCCAGGCAGAGACACCACAAGCTTTAATAAAGGGTGTTCTTGAACAGTGAGGGCTTCTCCGCACACTTCATTTGCTTCCTCAGGCCCTGATCCTTCCACAGTTTCTGTGTTCTCTGTTATCCAAACATTTAGCTTCCTGGAATTATTCCTAGAGCCTTATGCTCGTAGAGCCAAGATTGTACTTCACATCTGTGACAGTCTCTACCTCGGCCTTCTAGGACATCTTTGAGGCTCCTTCCACTAGAGGGAAATGCAGAACTTGTCAAAGTACATGTTTGGGTCTGCTTTGACCTGTTTTTAAACGAGGGGAATGCAGCAAAGGTATCCAAGTGCCACCTGAGGTTTGAATGACCACGTGCTGCCATCCTGTGCAGTGCCTGGGCTCTGGGCATCAGCCACATGGTCACCCAGAGCCCCATCCATGCTGAACTGCCACTAAAGCATCTGGCAGTAAGGCAGCTCTTGGGAGAGCAATGCCAAAGTTGCATTTGTGTGACAGGACTCCGAGACCCCCCCAGATATTTGCTGTTCACCACTTAGAATTGTCCATGGTCGGAATGTGGACGTGGTCTAAGTGTCCACAAGATGTGTTCCTTGCACACATAACTCCAAACATACTGACACTGGCTACCTGAGCATCAAGGAAATTAAAAAGGGGAAAGTGAATTGTGGATTTCAAGTCTGGAATACTGGTTCTGGCTTGTCCACTTTTCCTTTCCATTCATAACCACTTTAACAAAGAAGCAAATTCGAAGTTCTCTGGTAGATCTCAAGTATTAGATGATAAAATCTTTTAACACTGTTCAGAGCAGAGGTTCGTGCCTTCATCATATGAATTTTGAGCTTACAGCTGATCTGAAGCCCTTCAGGCAGTGCAATTAGAGTAGGAAAAGGTTCCATTTACTATGTATGGTAACATTATTTCCTCTCTTGGTGCTTGAAAAACACAACTGTTACAATTGACCCAGCATAAGTAGTGCCCTCATTTGCAACAACTCTCTGTGCAGTACTGCTACAATAGACTTAACACTGCATAACGCTGAGTTTGCTCAATCTTTGTTTTGTAAGTTAAATCATTCAATTACTGTACATTTCCTTATTTTGATCTCTTTTCATTGCAGAGCCTCCCTTTCCAAAAAATACAACACAGCATCACAGCACAAGACCACCAGCCTACACCTGACAGCTGTATACTCAGTATGGTAGTGGGACAGCTTAAGGTAAACTCTTTCCATTACAGGCTAACAAGTGCTTATGTCTTAGATTTTTGCAGGATTCTGAATCGTCTGATTTCTGAAAACATTAAAATGCTCTTGTGGGTGGGGAAGGAAGATGGGTAAGTTTTCATTGGGACACCATTCTTCTGCTGTTCAAGACTGTCAAGAAACTGTTCATCCCTCCAGATATCTCACACTAGATAAACCACCTGCAATTTGACAGTCACATGTTCTGTCCAGCAAAGTGCCATGACTTCCTCTGTGCTTACAAGTACCATGTGGGTTATAGAGGCATCATTGTTTCCCTTACCCTGATGCAGTAAGGGTTCAGTGCCCTCTGTTGCATTTAAAACCATCATCAAAGTGTTCTTGGACAGTATAAGCACATGTAGTTTAACATCCTCTTTGTTGTAACGTTTGCATAGAGCTCTGATGTGGCAGACTTCAGTTGTTAGCTGACCACCCTTCAGTGAGTCCACACTTCTCTGCTGTCACAGGACGCAAGAATTCAGTCCTGGTGTTAATGCAGTCCAGTACCTCTGTTATCAAAACTAATTCAGCAGTGGGAATGCTGCCTCTGAGATCAAACACTTAGTGTTGTGACAGATTCATTGTGTGAAGAATCAGATTATTTTTCAGGCTGTAGGATGACTGTATTGCTGTGTGAGTGATACTACTGAGCTGTGTAAACTTACCCTGTCTCCCAGTATACCAGGGCCACAAATTAATTAAACTGCTTATTAATGAGAGATATTGTCCTGGAATCTGCAAAAAAAAAATATCCTGTGTGTAAAGTCAGCTGTAGGCAGAACTTGCTCAGGGTGGGTGATGTTTGTTTAAAGTCATGAAATTACCTGGCAGTAGTTAAAATCATCAGAGTTAGTTTGGTCCAGCCATGCTGTGAAGTCAGGCCTCTCACACCATCCAGTCTTTAGAGTTACCTGAACCCAGTTTGTTTTAAAAGAGCTGTTTAGATTTCCTTTTCCTGTTAACTCTGAATGACACCTCCAGTGTCAAGGCATTCAAACTCCCACTGACACTGTACTATTTACTAAGCAAATGTAGGACTTAAAGTTTGAATCTGCTTGCTTAGCCGTTCTCTTTGTGTTGGGCTGGGCGGTTGAGAACAGTGGCCAGTGTATTGCATCCACTTTTAAACCTAACATAGGCAGCTTTGGCTCTCATTAAAGTTGCTCCTGCTTCCCAGCTGCAATTTGGATTCCAGCTTTCCTGTTGTTCAGTTCCACATGCACACCCAGAGGAAAGACAGCCACATGTGACCATGGAAATCACTGAATGGCAGGGCAGGTGTGCAGGCACACATGCTGATCTCAGCTTTGCTCTTGGGTGTGCACACAACTCTGATATGACCAAGGCTTTTTGACCCAATGTCTTGGGCCAGTCTCATCTGCACCTGGTTTTGCACAGTCATGTTTTTAAGGTTATTGCATAATCATCAAGCAGATCACAGCTTGCAGCAGTGATTGGTGTTGAATCCTGTGGCAAGATACCAAGTTCTTAAAGATTTTGTAAAGCTATTGGGTTTTCTCATCCATTAATACAGAGGGATTGTAAATGCAGTCCAGGAGCTTTCCATAAATACCATGAGTTGGAGTAGTATTTCCTAATGTACCATTTTTATCCTCTGAATAATTTCAGCTTGCTGAAATTACTCAGAATAATTTAGGGATCATGTGTTAGTGCATCTAGGTATTTGGAAAGAACATACTGGCTTAAAGTGTGCCTGTTGCCATGATGAAACCAAACTTGTTTGTGAATTTTTAGTAAAAGAGGAAACATTTTTCTGCCCTTCACGTGCATGTGTCTCAAACCTTAGCTTTAAAAATCACATCATAATCCCTGGGAATGCTGCTTCTCACTGAACACGTGTCCAGAAAGTCAAAGTGAACTTAGAACTTTAGCTTCATGCTTCTGCCTTGTGTGAGGCTTATACAGGTGGGCAAATGAAAGATCAGTACCAGTCTGTAGCCTGATGTGAACATGAACCTGCCAGCACGTGAACCTGGCTGTCAGATGGAGTGAATTCTTCTTCTGGTGTGAACTCATACATGTTGACAGCCACTTCAGTGCTGGGCTATGTACAGTACAGTGACTGAGAGCAACCAGATTCAGGTTTGTGCATTTTAACAAGTGGCTCCTCTGTAGCTCCAGTTGAGCAGGGAAGACTTTAACATGCAAACAGGGAGCTGCACACTTGTTGTTATTTAAAGCCGCCTTCTTAATGGTGTAGCTGCTCAGCCCACATCTGTTGGTCTGTAAGAAAACTGTAGAGAATTTTGCACAGGGAAGGGCACTTTCAAGACCATCAGTAGCAAAGTTTGAAGGGAAAAGCCATGCTTCCTGCTTACTGTTCAGTTATCCTTTTCATGGAACTGTGAGCCAAATTCTTCAAAGTCCAGGACAATTAATGCACATGCTTTTAATCCTCTGCAGTTTTTCAAAACTTGCATTGTTTCATGTAATGAAGGAGCATACATAATGCTTTTAATAGAGTAAGCCAAGAAAATAATAGTGCTAAAATACCTGTAACATGCCCTTTCTAAGTTATCATTCCTGGCATGATATATAAATGGATTTTCTGAGGCATTAGTTGCTTGAATTGCTGGTAGTCCCAAAAGTTCAGTGGAAACATCATTCATTCTGAGAAAGCTGGGCACATCTTGTATTTCTTGCTTAAACCATTGGAGAGGGGGAAATAAACCAAAGCACAACAACTTTCACTGTAAAAACATGTTTCTAAGTAAACATATGAAAGATCCTCTTTTAGTGGTTGCTGAGATAGGTGTTAATGTCTGGGGGGGTTTTTTATCCTTTTGAAGAGGTATAATAAATATACATCCACTTATTCTAATCCTGTTGTTTTTTATTGCTGTTCATTGTCTGGGGGCTGCTTGCTTGCTTCAACTAGGAGGAGTAAGGATGGGTTTAAGCCTTTAGGAGTGAGTTCCATTTGGTGTGACACTGCTTTGCTGATGTTCCTGCAGAATGTCACCCCCTACCTCCACTGTGCTTCACCTCGTAACATATTTCTCCTGTCGCGCTCAGGCAGATGATGACCAGGTTCTAGGCTTCCACCAAACCTTTTTGTTGAAAAATTTTCAAGGTGCCTGGGTGTGCACCAACGAAGTCTTCAGGCTATCCCTCCACAACGTTTAACCCTCTGCCTTACCTGTCTTCCATGCAGTCCTCGCTGTCCTGGTTGAGTAAGGAGTGCTCTCTTCTGTCCCTTGAGCATGGCTGTGGCTTGGCATTCTCAGAGCCGAGTGGCAGATCTGTGGCTCTCCCCAGAGTGTGAATTTTGAAGTGATTGTTGCAGAATTAATTGTGAATAACTAATTGTTATGCGGTGTTTCCTAGTCTTAAAAGGAAAAGGAAATTTGCAATTAAAATCACTGGATGTTTTTGTAATGCATGCTGATTACTTAAAGCATTGCTTAAAGCCTGTTAAATGAGGCTTAACATGTGAAAGAACCTGCAATCTGAAGTAATTAGCCTTTCCTTTGAGGTGAGGGTTGTTGCAACACTGCAGTTCAATCCACAGTTGCTGGGGTTGCTGGTGAAGGAGTAAAACTGTCTCTGAGGAGACAAGAGGAGGAAAGTTGTGCAGCTACATCTGGATTGCAAAGCAGTCTTGCAGCTAAAACTCTGACGTGACCTATGGCTCTGTGAGCTGAGGACTTTCTTTTGAGCCTCCAGGTCAGAAGGGATGTAGAAAAACTGGAAGAGGTCGAAAAGCTGCCAAAATTGTAGGTGTTGAAGAGCTTGTGGAGCTGGGAGAGGAGGTGGCTACGGGTAATTGGCCTGAAATGTGGGTAGAAAATAGTTGAATACTTCCAACAACCTGAGAGCAAACTCTTCATGGTGATGCCAGATGATGGAACAAGGGACAGTGGTTAGAAACCACAACTTGGGAGATACGGATTGGACACAAGGGAAGATTTTTGATAGTCCAAATTTTGGGAATGGACTATAAAATATTTATCCTATCTTAAATACAGTCTAGGATTTTCCTTGTTTTTCAAGTATACTGCTCTTTTGTGCTGTGAAGACATAACATGAAAGGAATAAAGAAAACAATAACGTATGACTTCATTGTGGGAATTTGCCATCTGTACCACAGCAAGTGTGTTGGGAAAGAATTCCCTTTTAATCTTTTTTTCATGTGTCTGGTCCTGAATTGCTTAAGAAAGGAGGAAATTTTCCTCAAGCCAAAGTACCAAGAGCTGCAGTGCTTTTGCCAGAGCCTACGTAGGCTTATCAGAAATTGAGGAAACCTGCACTAAGCCAGACTGGTGGTGTTATTTTTTTTCCATAGGCATATTTTAAAACCTGCTCATGTCAGTAATGACAAGGTCCAATTTGGTGTGAAAACTGCTTGTGAAAACAACTTGTAATAGATGCCTCAGTGATCCACAATGAAGAGACCACAGGGCAACTGAGGGCTGAGAACCTACCAACTCCCAAGCAGCAGTGAGGCTGTACTGGGATGTGCTACATTTGATACCTGGGAGAAGGTGCCAAAGGCACAAACCCCCAGGTTTCAGGGCACAGGCCACCTCTGCAGCACTGACACCGAGCCTCTCTTCTGGGCAGATGTGGCAAGGATAATACTTCCCCTGAAATAATTGGCACGACTGCTGTTATAGGTGCTAATCAACTAGATGGGCTGGGCTAATCCAGCCTAATTGCTCGTGTGCACACTGGGCTCCTTACTCATGCTCAGGGAGGTGTGTGCTGAGGAGCCAAGCTGCCCGGCTCCTCTGTTGGCACTTGTCTTGCTTGAAGGATTTTTCTTTCATTCATTCATCTCTTGAACACTGACTTGCTTATATTTCTGGCCTTACTTGTTACCTTCTTAACTTCTGGCTGTACTAGTTTCCTTCATGGTTTTATAGGAATTTTTTTGCCTTGCCCAGCTGATGCCAGTGCTGATGACATTTTTGCAAGTTACAGGGTTGTACTCAATTTACTTTCTTCAGTAGGAAACTGTCTGGTAGCTGGATCATTTTTCTTGTCCTTTTCTGACATTTTATTTTTTTTTTAAAGATAAGAAATGCATGTTTGATATGTGGGTGTTGGTTCTCTGTTCCTTCCCCAATAACTGCTAACCCTGTGCTTACCTTAATAGCTTTTGGGCACTCAGCTGGTTTAATAAATAAATATCCATCGTTATTTCAGTATCCCTTTCCTGAGGGGTGAACCTAGGACCTTTTTGGTTTTCCTCTGTGAATTAGCATACACTTACTGAAACTGCCCTTCATCTATGCCATTTAACTTCCTGGGCAGTTGTCACTGAAATCCTTGCAGTGGTTTTTGGATCTGAATGCTTCTTTTCCATGCACTTGAACCCACCACTTCTCTGGCAGACTTGCTGTTCTGTGATATGACTCTTGTCCTTTGCAAGTTGCTCCTCAAAGCTGACTTGTTTCACAGTCCATTTGTCACATAAGTGAATATTACTTCTTTTTTAGTAAAATTCCTTTTTTATTTTGTAGTCTGCTTTGCTCTTCACATTTTCACTCGCTGTTCTTAGTGAATAGTAGAGCACTGCCAATGAACGTTCAGCGCTTTGACAGCCTGTTTCATGTGCTGCTCTGGCTGCTGCTTGTCGAGGCTCTTTTTTATGCATTTCCCCCCTTTTCTGAAGGTGAATAGTCACGTGTTGAAAGAATAAAGCTTAAAATCCTCCAAAAATGCTGAATTGATCATGCTGCAGCCAGTATCAGAAGATTGTTTTGTAGCCTGGTCCTGTGTGCTGTTCAGATTAAATCCCGTTGTGTGATTTCCAGCTGACTGATTTGGGAATCATTTGTGTTATTTTGAGGATTTAATTCCTGCATGATGCCTCTGAGAAGACTGGTAAATAAATACTAGGTGGGAGAACTGATCTCCCTCTAATACTGTTTTCTGCTTTTGTACTAAAATTGTAAATGTCCAGGTACTACACTGGAGTGCCCAGACGTATTGTCAGAGGCAGGAGTGGAGGCACTGCTGCAGAGATTCCCTGTGCTTAGAACACATGGTTGCAGCTCTGGCAAATATTTTGCTCCCTTCCAGCTGTTCCTAGACAGCAGAAGTGGGATGGACTACATTGCTGGCCAGCTGTACCTGCTGTGGGAATGCTTTCAAAGCCCAGAGCATTGTCTGGCTCATTCAGTCAATGCTGTTAATACCAACTTCTACAGAAACTCCCTTCTGTCATCAACCCAAATGCAAAGATAAAAACTGAACCAGCTTGATTCCTGGGCAAGGCATTTGTGATTTAACACTGAGGGAGGCATGTTCTGTCAGTGTGGTGAAGCCACGGAGTGACATGTCTGCAGGTTCTTCCAGGAACCCCCAAATTCGGGTGTTGATGCAGGATTTCTGTGTCACTGGGCACTGGGTGTTTGTCTGCAAAGCCCCTTGGAACAGACCCTGGTGGCATTAGTGACTCCTGAGGTTCTACATCTCTTACAGCATGTGCCGTCACTTAATGTCAGCTTTAAGTCATCTTATCATGAGTTTTGGAATAAATTTCTCAAAAAAAGAGTGTTTTGACCTTTTTTTCCCCCCCTTCTCTTTCCACAGGCTGATGAAGATCCTATCATGGGGTTCCACCAGATATTTCTATTAAAGAACATCAACGATGCCTGGGTTTGCACCAATGACATGTTCAGGCTAGCATTGCACAACTTTGGCTGAGCTGCCCAGCCCGAGGCTCCCGTGCTTTTTTTTTCGTTTTGTTTTCGTTTTCCTCCTCTCCTCCTAACTGGTATTATTCACACTCACGGAACATTCCAAATATCATACACAAACCTGCAGCACTGCAGAGCGTGAGCAAGCAAGACTTGTGACCTGCCCTTCTGCTGAGTTTACATTGTCACTAGATGAGTTTCTTGTGCATGATGTTTGGAAGTTAGACTTAGCTGCATTTGATAAAGAGAAATTTTGTGTTGTACCAGCATGCCTCGGAAAGAATTTATAATGCAAAAGGTTGTTGTTTATGTACTGACAAGATGCTCTAATAACCCAAAGAAATGAAAGAACAGCAGCCTGTACAGCCCAGTTATTGATTTGTTCAGATGTTTCAATGCTACGTTACACAATAAAACAGAGATTTTCTTAAAAGTTTAAATTGTTTTAATGAGTTGGCTATGGACTGTGAGTTGGCTATGGAGTGTGTGGTGCTGCTGGCTGTGGATATCCTGTGTCCGCCTGGTGGGGAGATGCTTGCAGACTGAACCTGGAGCTGAACAATGCCTGGAGCTTTACCAGAGACTGCAGGCAGGTCATACACCTTTTCACCTCCCTCTCAGCACCTTTCACAACGGAGACTTCTAGCTCAGCGTTGAACAGCGACTGGTTACTCCTCAGCTGTTGCATGCCACCGAGGCAAACGCCTCCAGTAAGGCAGGGGGCTGGCAGCAGTCCCGGCAGCCCGCAGTCAGCCTTCACGCCGTGTTTCCTCCGCCGGAGTCAGCCCCGCGCTGCCCTCCCGGCGTTCGTACCCGGCCCCGCAGCCCTGGGCAGGCTGTGCTCTGTGCCCTGGGCAGGCTGTGCTCTGTGCCCTGGGGCTGGGCCGTGCCCGGTGTGTGCGGCGCTGCTCTCGGGGGGCTGGGCCGTGTCCCCGAGCGGCGGCGGCTCCCGGGGGGAGGGCGGGGGAGCCCCGGGCCGGCCCCGCCCCGCCGCGCCGGGAACGCTCGGCTCGGGCGGCGGTTTCCGCCCGGCGCTTTAAGGGCCGGGCCGGAGGCGGAAGCGCGGGCGGCGGGGCCGGGCCGGGCAGCGCGGTGTCGGCGGCGCGGGCGGGCGGCGCGCCGGGCCCCATGGCCTCCTGCTCCAGCATCGACATCGAGGACGCCACGCAGCACCTGCGGGACATCCTCAAGCTGGACCGGCCGGCAGGTGAGGGCCAGCGCCGGGGCAGCGCCGGAGGCCGCCGGGCCGGGCAGGGCCTGGTCACGGGCCGGGCCGCGGGACCCCCTGGGCCGTTGCGCCGCCGCCCCGCCGGTTGTCACCGGGCGCTCTGGGGCCGGGCACGGCCCGCTTCTCCGCGGCGCCCTGGCGGCGGCCGCTCCTGCCAGCCCGGGGCCGGTGGGGCGGGGCGGACCGGCCGGTGAGGAGAGGAGAGGAGCGGAGCGGAGCCCCCTCCGGCCCGGGGACCCCGCCTGGGACAGGGGGTGTTGGCGCTGGGCAGAGCGGGAGCGGGGCGGACCCAGAGCTCGCTGCTGGCGGGTGTCTGTGCGCCTTTCGGCAGAGAGATGCTGCTACTGGGAGCTGAACAGCACCGACCTCTGCTGAGACACAAATCCCCCCCGTTCCTGGGCGTGCTTGAAGTGTTCCCCAGGGGGCTGGGCTCAGTGGAAGGGGCTGTCAGGCTGCTCTGAGATCAGTGCCTTGTTCACCCTTACACAGACTTTTCCCTCTCCTTAGTTTTGTGTGAAATGGGATCACAAATATCTTTCTTCAAGTGGTTGTGAGTCTTCTCCCAGTGCTTTGAGCTGTTATACATCTCTGTTCAGAGTCCAGTGGACCCCTTCAGCCTGTAAGAACATCAGCAGCAGGCTCAGGAGTCAGCAGTGTGGTGTTCCCCTCTCCTGTAGCCTAAGCTCTTTTTCAAGCCTCTCATTGCTTTTGGAACCTACCACAGTGTTTCAGTCAGACCTGGTCGGGAAGAGGCCCAGACCATGAGTGCTCTGCAAAAAAATCTTAGCCTCTGGGTAGAGGAAAGAATTTATACTCCTGTTGTGTTCCTGTGGAGGGAAAAGCAGGAATAATGTAGCTTTTAAGTATCCTGGTAGTCATTAAGAATATGCTACATCCAAAACAACTGCCATGTGTGCTGCCTTATGCTTGGCCAAGAGGAGAGGTTGGGTGTGGGATTGTTGTGGGAGAGCTGCAGAGGCACGTGGAATGATGGAGCAAGCCTGGAGTAAGGCGGCTTCATTAGCTTTACTACCCATAGAGAAACTTCTCATTACTTGGACTCATTTCTATTGTTTCTGGAGTGCTTGAATGTTCCTGGATTATAATTCTTGTAAGAAAAATACATTTTTCCCTCACAGTGCAGCACTCTATATTTGTAAGACTGAAAGGAGAACTCCGTGCAGGGATGGGGAACAACTTTTTTCACTTTCTGAACTGAAAGGATGTGTCACTGTTGGGAAATGGTTGTAGTTGTTGCTGAAAAGTGACTTGACTTTCTCTGAAAGAAGCTTCTCCTGCTGGCCGAAGCCAAGGAGTTGACAGAATATGGTTGTATTTCTTTTCTTCTTCCCTGTTCATTCTCTTTTTACCTTCTCTGTCGTCTCCAGTGCACTAAGAAGGCAGTTGAGAGGAAAAGGAGCAAATGGGCAGAAAGTCCACAGAAGGAACCTGTGCTGGTTCTCAGCAGGAATCAGTGCCTGGCTAATGGCAAATAAACTCAAAAGAACTGACATAATAAGGTGAAGAGGAAGGATACACGTGTTAACTGAAAGCCTCTGGAACTCCTCTTAGGAAGTCAGAGGAAAGGGACAGTGTGGGATCCTTCAAGGCTTGTGAAGGAAAATAAAAGCAGCCTTGGGAATCCCGTGTGTAGGGTTAATCTTACCTGGCATGAAGTTGCTGTGGTCAAGACCCTCTCTGGTTCCGTGGTTGTTACACCCTGGGTTTCACTTGCAGGTTTTAATGCCCACTGGACACTGGTGTAGCTGTTTCCCGAGGTTGAAGGAAGTTTTGCAGTTCTGAGTGCATGTAGCTGTGAGCAGAATTATGTTACTCTGGGTCCTGTCCAGACGGGTGACAAGAAACACTCTCTGCTCTAAAGAGTTTACAACTGCCACGATACTTTTTAGATTCTGCTGGGTTTGGTGATTGTGAAAATGTTATTTACATTTGCTACCCCAGTCTCTTCTGACACAGTTTCTTCACAGTTTTGGCAAACATCACCCATTGCTTTGTAGCCCTTGCCCTTTTTCATGCTGTGCCCTCAGCAAGGGGCAGCTTCATGGTCAAACCATGGACCTCCCTCTGGAGCATGGAGACAGGCTGTCAGTGCCAGCATGCTGTGGAGGAGCATCCCTGCTGGAGATTGGCAGGATCCTTCAATCCACACAGAGATCTCTGCTGATAACAGATGTGGGCTCACCCTGCTCGTGGTGTTTATCAGGGAAGTGTTCTGTTCAGTACAAACTGGCATCCCATGGTGCAGGTGATGGTGGGAGGAGGACAAGTTCAATGTCTCATCTCTGGCTGCTCCTGCTCTTTGGAAAGGTAATGAGTAAAAACACTCTTCTTTCCCTTTTCAGGCCTAGATCTACCAGTCTGCATTAACCTTTTGGCTTTGTTCGTGTTCTTACTAAAAGCTGAGCCTCTTCCCTTCTTTTATACCTCCAGGATTGTGTGCAGGCAGCACTTGTGCTTGAGCTAAGCCCAGTCCTGACCTTGAGTGTTGTGCCCATCAGCCTCTGGGAAGTGTTTCCTCCTTCCTTTTTTCTGTGGAGTGAACGTCACTGTCCCGCTGTCCATAAAGGAGCAGCGATGCACACGTGGAGTGTTCCTGTGGCTGCAAACAGAGCAAAGAATGTATCATCTTTCTCTGGCAGCCTGGGTGCGTTTCCTATAGGGAATGTTCTCCTGCTTTTGGTCACAAAGGATAAAGCACTGTCAGTGGAAGTAGCCACAGCTGGGCAAGCACCCTCCACGTGCTGTAGGAATAAGGGGCACATCTCAATCTTGCAACAGCAAGCGCAGCACCAGTGTCAGGTGGTCACAGGACCACGTTCCCTGGCCTGAATTTCCTTGTTCTATGTGAGTGCCACTGCTTTCTCTTCATGCAGTGCAGGTACACTGAGGTGAGTGCCCAAATGGTCCCTGCATTGGGATACCCTGTCACTGCACAGGCTTTTTGTGTCCATGGCATAGTTGATGTAATGACTGGTCATAAACAGGCAAGTTTTAAATGTTCTTCTCCAAATGAATAGTGTCAGTTGTTTTTCAGGCAGCAGCGCTCCCCCTGATCTGCTAAAGCCTGTTCAGGAACTGAAAGCTTGCCTTGCTTTCAAAGGACAGGCCCCTTGCCCACGGTTGTGTTTAGGTTTGTTACGTGTGCCAGTGACAGTGGAGCTGCTGGTCCTGGGAGCAGCCATTTTGCAGGAGCTCAGCAGCACTTGTTACCTGGCAACAGTATACGAAATTTCGGTTTTCCATACCAGTGAAAATTTCCAACAAGGATTTGCTGAGACAGGCGGCTTTGCCTGGGGTGTGCTGATGTGTAAGAGCAGAGGCAGGGGGCTCCTCGGCTGTTTACCCTGCTAGTGAAGTAGAAGAATCTCCTTCGCCCCCTGTTGCAACAGTCCCCTTCTAAAGCCACCAGGCAACTTGTGCCAGGCCAGATGCACAAAGTCAGGGCACAAACACTCTTCAAAGCACAGCTGAAGCTCTGAACAAATGGTTGCTTTACACAAAACTTGAGTGCTGTAAACTTCCATGTGATTGTTCGACAAAGAGAAAAATATGGGAATCCTGCAGGCACAACTGCACACTTTCGTAGCAAAGTTACTTGAACACCTGGACTTTGAGGTCAGGTCTCACAGTCAGAAGCAAGTTCTGGAAAGTAACAAATGTATTATTTCCAGCCAGCCCCAAATGTGGCAGCTGATCAGTGTATTGCTGGACTTCAGAGGTCTCTCTGCAGGCCTGAGGATTAGAAGTGGCCTGTGAAGAACCTTTTGGTCTGGCCCTTGATTCAGTGAACCTGAATTACCAGCTTAGTCTTTTTGATCCAAGACTGTTTGTTCCTTGAGCCTGGTAAGTTCCTTGTACCTGTTCTTTGGTGTTTCTCTGATCTGCTGGGATTGCTTGTGTAAGGAAAGCTACGACTTCACTCAGATGTGTGGGGGTTTCTCACATGGGAGATCCCTTACACATCCTTCTTGGAGAATACTTTTCCCAACCAATTCAGTATATTCTAGCTGGCAGACCAGTAAGGGCTGACAAAAAACAGCAGTGTTATTTCTTTTAAATGAATGTTGGGCACAGCTGGTGATGCTTTTCCCCAGGTTCGGTGAATGAGAACCAGAGACCGTCGAATTCGTACAACGGAGACCTGAATGGGCTGCTGGTGTCTGATCCCCTTGGGAGCGGAGATGGACCTTC